TGTATCACTCTAGTGACAGCTGCCTTTATTTCTGAGTGTCGTATCACAGTTTTATTGAATAGATTTTTAAACTGGCGACGTAGTGGCGCAGTAGGTAGTGCTGTCGCCTCACAGCAAGAAGGTTGCTGGGTTGCTGGTTCAAACTTCGGCTCAGATGGCGTTTCTGTGAGAAGTTTGCATGTTCTCCCTGCGTTTGCGTGGGTTTACTCCGGGTGCTTCGGTTTCCCCCACAGTCCAAAGACATGTAGTACAGGTGAATTGGTAGGTTAAATTGTGTATGAGTGTGTGTGTGTGTGGAATCTGTGGATGTGGATGTTTTCCAGAGATGGGTTGTGGCTGGAAGGGCGTCTGCTGCGTAAAAACGTGCTGGATAAGTTGGCGGTTCATTCTGCTGTGGTGACCCCGGATTAATAAAAGGACTAATCCGACAAGAAAATGAATGAATGAATGATTTTTAAACTATAATGTTATGAATGAACTGGATCTACTGTCTTCCAGATCTCTTATTTTTATCACTTTTTGACATTTTTTATACATTTTTTTGAGATTGCTTATGCATCTGTTTGAATACAGTGGAATTTTTGTGTCTATGAGGAATGTGGTTGCTTGTCTTCTGCTATGCATCTTGCAATTGTACAACATTGTAACAACTGTTCATACTGCACAAGATTGGCAATGCAATCCTGGATTAAGACCACAAAGCTGCATAAATCCTCAGCATTGTTTTGTAACCCTGGGTAAAATGCGGTGCTGACCATGCGTATAAGTTACAAGTCTGAATGTGTTTATTTTTTATTTTTGCATGATGAGATTTAGCAGAGATGACTGACAACAACATGGTTGAGGATTTGATGCACAATATATCCTTAACTATATAATCTAACATGTACTGTATGTTCACAGCATATCTAATCTTAATAAGAAAGAAAAGGGCAAACATTTCAGTCTGAGTACCAGTTCTGACTATTAAGTAGTGACTTATTATTACCAGCCGATCAATATTGTATTTGTATTAGTGATAATAGAAAAATACATATTCTGCATGATAATATTGTACATTTACTAATTTATCCTAATATATAAACCCAACCTTAATAACTATTAATTAAATTGGGAGTTTATTGAACTAAAAGTTAATGGTTTGTTAATAGTGAGAAGACCTAAAAATAAATTGTAACTACAAAAAGTAAAAGTGAGCAAATAATAAGCAGTGATTTTAGTAAAGTGAATATTATATAATTTTTATCCTAAAAGGTAAATGGGATTTCTTTATGTTGAAATGTTGATGCATGTTCTACTTTAAATACAAAAAATTAATCAAAGGTACACAGCAAGAAGCTGAGTTTGTATGAACTGAAAATAATATAATAGAGATATTTAAACAAAAAAATCCGGTTTAACCAATATTTACATAAAAAAATGATTGAATGATGGTATTGGTTCAGTACTATTTCATAACTGGTTATGATACACTGGTATTGATGTCATTTATTTTATTTATTGTTGTAGCATACTATGACGAAGGACGTGAGCGTGAGTAATTAAAACACTTCAACTACTTAAAAATGCAGAAACACTGCACATTTCACTGTGTGTGTGTGTGTGTTTGCTGGATAGTCTTTCACTGACAACATACCAAAAGCCATTGTATGTGAAGGCTACACATAAATATATTATATTCCAGGAGTACAATCTATAAATAATTTGATTAATTACACCACAATAAATGCATTGAATTCACATCCCATTCTCAATCTAATGTTTTGATATTTCTGTGTGAAGTTCCCTCCAGCCTCAAGAACAAAATCTGATCTTCCATTCAGCTGCTACAGACGAGTGAAGTTCACACAGTGAATGAGTCATGTTGTCAAGAAATGAAATCTGCTCAACCCAAAAGAAAAGAAACAAGCAGTGCAGATGCACAACACAAATCCAGTTAGTTTAACAAAAAGTTATATTAATACTATGAGACAAGAAGCTTAAATTGCTTATTTATTTCTTGACAACTTCACAAAAATGTTCCTATTTATTATTGCCATGTCCTAAAAACTAGTGTTCTTTACAGTCAGTTGAATGGGGGGAAATGGCAAATTGCACTGTGTTGCATCAGTGGCTTGTTTACAAATTCAGGTAAATATTGCAATATGATGAACATATCAAAATGAACAAATAACTACACTTTTGATTTACTATAGATAAAAACAATTAAGAGTAATAAGACCTGGGAAACGATACAATGCTCAGTATGTTTCACGTCAATAAGATACATTACAAGAATCAAAAATGAAGATAAAACAGATTTATATTTCTACACTTTCTATGCACCAAAGAAAACTGCCTAAACTAATTATGATTTTGTACAAAATTAAGTGTGTATTAAAATGACACTGAAATCTGGTGCAATAATGCTAAAAGTCCTCTTTGCCATCACAAAGAAATATTACATTTTAAAATATGTGAAAATTTCTAACACATTCTAAACTGCAATAATGTTTCATAACATTACTACTATTTCATAGTATATTACAGTATTAAATAAGTTCAGTATCCCTTAATCAGAACTTTAGGGTTAGCAGGGTCAAAAAATTAATTCTCATACCTTGAATGCAATGTAAAGGCAGTGAAACATCCAGAACAGCAGAAGACCAGCCTTTAAGCTTCACTTGAGAACACTAATAAGACTATAAATAATTAATGTAAATAGTTGGTTCATGTAAGAAAATGACTGTCTACATAGGTAGGGGTAGGCATCTTTAGTCTATATTCCTCATTTAAATCGGCATACCAAAATTACAACTACAGATGTGCAAACCATAAACAAAGCAGCACTTGCTTACCACCATCCTAAATATCTATCATGTTGATCACTTGTTCTTTTCTTTTATCAGTGATATATGTTATGAAAATATTTGTTCATTGAAATGCTCAGGTAAGGAGACATTAAAATAGCCTTCTGCCCGAAGGCTAATGGTCAGCTTGGTATATCACAATCCTAAATAATCTAAAGACATACTAAACCCTAAAGCATGTCAGAAACAAAATGTGGTATTAGTATTAGCAGACTGTCTGCTTAATATCTGTTGATACTGCTCCCTTAACAGACATTTAACTGACTGTAAGCAACTTTGCAAGTGCATGTCAATTTACACTAACCCTAACCTAATCCTAACCTCAACCTAACAATCTACTTATAATCTAAGGAAAATTAGTTGCCATGTACATGTAGATGCAATGTAACTTAAATTCAACAAATGGGCCATCAAAATAAAGTATGACCCAAAATGTATTTTAATTACAGTAAGAGAAACAAGTGCAAAGAAAAAACAAAATTTCATTTATCAAAAAGAATAGATATCAATAAATAGAAATAAGTCTCATTATTAAAAATGATACTTATAAACACACCAAAATGAAGTCATTCTGTGTTGTGTACAAGGCATGAATATCTCTGATATCAGGGTTAAATAAACAAGATTTAAGCCAAAAAATAAAATACAATTCTTGACTGACTATCAGTTTAACAAAACAACAATGATTAATGAAATATCAACTTGTGGATGCTTTAATTCTGAGAATGTGAATATTATCTGTACTTTTGCCTCTCGTCTTTAATGTCACCATCTTTTGGATTCCTCAAAACAAAACAATCATTATGAATAAAAATGGTCACAATAACCAACCTTATAAAACAGTATAATTACTATATACACTCACCGGCCACTTTATTGGGTACACCTGTCCAACTGCTCATTTACACAAATTTCTAATCAGCCAATCACATGGCAGAAACTCAACGCATTTAAGCATGTAGACATGGTGAAGACAATATGCTGCAGTTCAAACTGAGCATCAGAATGGCGAAAATAGGTGATTTAAGTGACATTGAGAGCGGCCTGGTTGTTGGTGCCAGGTGGGCTGGTATGAATATTTGAGAAACTTAGAAAGCTTATCTACTGGGATTTTCACGCACAAGCATCTCTAGGGTTTACAGAGAATGGTCAAATAAAGAGAAATTATCCAGTGAGCGGCAGTTCTACAACACGTCAAACCTTGAAGCGGATTGGCTACAACAGCAGAAGTCCACACCGGGTGCCACTCCTGTCAGCTAAGAACAGGAAACTGGACAATTGGACAATAGCAGATTGGAAAAACACCACTGTGAGATACTATAACGTCAATACAGCCCAAAATCTCTGAGTAATATTTCCAGTACCTTGCTGAATCTATGCCACAAAGGATTAAGGCAGTTTCTGAAGACAAAAGGGGGTCTAACACGGTACTAGTAAGGTGTACCTAATAAAGTAGCCGGTAGGTGTAAATTGCAACAAGAAATGTGTCGCATTGTTCACTTACTATAAAAGCTTTTAATTTAAGTATACACTTTAAAATGACAGCTAAAATGACTGCTAAAATGTTTGAGTACTAAAAAGAAGTCAAATGTATTCCACAAACGATGTTACTTTCACACAACTTAGTTAAGCAAATGTATCTAAAGTATACACATGAAATGTACCTTAAAAATCTGAGTGCAAAAACAAAAATGAAGCCAATTTCAGTGTTTTTTTTTTTTTTTTTCAGTGTAGCATTCTGCAGTAGCCTCTTCACGACCCCAGAGATGTCAGAGTCCTGCGGTCCATCAGCGCTTCTCCTCATAAATAGAGAACGTTCTCTAGACTATTTTAAGCTGATCTAAGCATCCACCTACCACTGAGCTGTCCACAAAAAAAACAAAAAAAAAAAAAAACACACACACACACACACACACACCACTGTCTGTCTTTGGGCTGTGAGTATATGTTGTTCAAACGTCTACAAGAACTACACACAAAAACAAAACAACAGCATTAAAATGTTTATGATAATATCGCCCCAGATCTGACTTAATGCAATCCACATCAGCTGCTTTTTTTAATGAGACGCCTCATTAAAACCCACAACGCTGTAGGTTTAAACTCAATTAAAGTGGTAGCAAGGGTCATGACCAGATGAACTTGACTTACCGATGTGACTGCGGTGAGAAGACGCTTCAGACAAATGACCCCAAAACAACACAAGGGCCAAAAATACCAGTACGATCCACGCAAACGCCCTCTGCAGCGCCCGCTCCTGCATCCTGAAACACACACACATAAATAAAGCATATCAGCTCATGAGCGATACACTGATCACAAAGGCTATTAGCGAGCATGTTTCTGGAAAGGATCTCATTCTCTCCTCTGGCGCTATCTAAATGTCATCATGTTCTCCCTGAATGTTTTCTGATACACTGCTGAGTGCTCCCAAACAGTGAATTATACAGTTCCTCACAGAGAGAAAGAGAGAGAGAGAAAGCTTCTAGCAGATGCTGAATGCCTAGTGGTGGATGGTGGTAGTGAATTTGTTTATATACAAGCCAAAGACAAACCAATAAAAGCTTATTTTTACTTATTTACTTTTATTTTATAATGCAATCAGATCGATCTAAGCCTACAATGAAGAGAACGATTTCACCCTACAGCCTTATGCGCAGTCACACTAGAGTTTGTGTGTGCAAAATTCTGTCATACGACGCTGCGAAAAGGGGCAGGATTAAACAAAATGATTAGATATTTTAAAAACCTAGCTATCGCTCCTTATTTAAAATTTTTGTCCAGTGAGATAATTTTTTGATCCTCGATTGGTCTTACTCAGCCAAATGATGCAATTTCACAGGTCAGAGTTAAACTATGCAATGCAGTGAGCTGCGAAACTTGGAGCACAACCTTGCGTTTCCGGTCTGACGCATTCGCATGCGTATGAATGGAAGTCTATGGGGAGAAAAGTGCAGTGTGACCACAGCTTTATCTTCATTTTGGAAGAATGCCCCCTTCCACCTCATCTCCTCCTTTTCCTCCTTACCAGTGTCCTGATCTCGAATTCCAGTATATGCTAATTAACCATGAGGGAGCCCTAGGCTCAATTATCTCCAAGCTCAGGGATCTCTTCCAAAACAGCATGCCAAACCTGCTAAGAGCGTCAAGCAATATCTGAGTGTGAACTCTTAAATTTATATTTGAAGAGTTCAGATGCAAAAAACTCCTAATGCTGTCTGAAATATCTTTTTCCACTGCACCATGACTTTATATTCAATACTGTACATCTTTTCTGTTAAGTGACGACTTTTTTCTAAGCAAAGTCAGATGTCCTAATTAAAAAATTATAAATCAAGGCATGATTATAATTTATGTAGGTAAAATAAGCATAATCTAGAAGCTTTTGCATTTCATATGAGCCACTTCTGATACCAAATGATCAACTAGAAGTCAAGTTATTCCTTTTTGTTCCTAAAACTTGGATAGGTACAGTAACATGACTTTTGCCAGGTAGTGTATGTGCATAGTTATAAAAATTAAGTAAAATCAACTTAACAGTTCCAATTTACAATGGGTTTACTCGCTAATCTAGGTCAAATCAACTTGTCGCTTTTAGGGCAGTCTGATATAAAGATATAGTCTGCTATGTTAAAATGTTATGTTATACAATAGTTAGAAAAAGCTCAATAATATGTTAACACAGATTTAGCACAATAACAATTTATAAGGCAACAGGGGCTTTTATCCACTATATAAAAGCCTTCAGCTATTTTGAACAAAGTCTGTTGAATTATTACTAATGAGTCTTTGTAACAGTACAATATGCATTATAGATATATTGGGGGGGTCTTTATAGGTGCAGTTATAGTATTTTTATGCTTGATTTTAAATTATTGTAAACACAGTGGCAATTGATTATAAGCATGTCCCCAAAAACCCTATTTGAAAAAATAATGGTCATTATTAAATCTTTATACTTTACTCTGTTTGAGACCACCAGATTTTTTACACATTTGTCAGATAGAATCATTTCAATTTAATGCAAGTTTGTATGAACACATATTCTTTTACATATTTTAATAAGTACAGTTTCATATTTTATTAGATTTCTTTTTACATAAATACATCTGTTATGCTCGCTTGTATATTTTATTTTCACAAAAGTTCAGCAGGATATGTATGTTTCTAAAGCATCTTCTGAATCATTAATCACTACTCAAAATGGAACATTTCCTTTGCACTCAAGACTCTGATTTCTGCAACAAACCACAGCAGAATTGTCACAATCCTTGCCATCATTAATACATGCCTATTTTAAAAGCAGCGCATCTATATTTCCATTTATATGTTTCACAACTCCTAAATAATAATTTCATGCAATCTGTGTGCTTAACCCTTATGTACTGTTGGGGATGTTTTCATCCACTCTGGGGTGATTTTCTGTCTCAATTTGACCATAACACTTTCAGTGTTTCAGCTAGCAGAATAATTGTGGTGACAAATCTTATTTTTGCACATATTTTGAGAAAAAGCTTTAAATAAAAAAAATGTTAAAAAAAAAATCAACAATACAATGCAATTTTTTTTTAGCCTGTTGCTATATTAGGTATGAAAACATCCACTAAATTAAACAGCTGTAAACATGCATCAGACTAATATTGTTTTTCTATTTATTTTGCATAAATATGTTCATTAACCTCAGTCCTGATTAAAACTACAAAATTGGTTAGAAAACTACAAGATTTTAACTCTTTAATTGCCAAATTCAAAATTGATGTCACTGATTTGGTGAAAAACACACAAAAGTACATTTTTAATATAAAAACTAATTGTGGACTGGATTTGTTTAGCCTTTTATCAAAGTCTTACACATATGAAACAACATTGCCTTTGATGCATTGTTTTTGATTAATTTTAAAAAATCAACCTAATTTAATGTTGGTGGCTTATTTTGCCTTTTTAACTTCCATTTATAACCACTTTTTTTATTATTGCAAAACCATGACACCATGTAATAATACATCTTTAATTGTTGGTGTTTTTTCTAGTTGGGAAGAGATAAAATGAGTCATTTTTACTGTTGATCATCAGTTGGCAACATTACCCCTTTAGACAGGCCTGTACAAAAAAAAAAAAAAAAAAAAAGGCTTAGTTTTAGGATTTTATATGGAGTATAAGAGCAAATTACAGCATGTGTGTATGTGTGTCTGTGAATGTAAGTGACCTTTGCGCACCTACACTAGTGTGCAAGCCCGTGCACACAAGGGCATGTGCACTGCACAGGTTGAGCCCTATTTTAGTCTTGGACAGAAAGTGCCCTTCCAAAATGATCTGAAGTGTGGTTATAATGAAAGTTAAAGTGACAAAAATAGCCACAGTCAGAAAAAAAATTAACAATGCATCAAAGCCAATGTTATTAATTGTTCACATGTCCAAGACTGTAATAAAAGGTAAAAAAAAATTAAATCCAGTCCACAATTAATTTTTAGATTTAAAATAAATCCTTTTGTGAGTTTTTTCACCAAAACAGTGACATCATTTGTGAACTTGTCAATTAAAGAGTTAAAATCCTGTATTTACTTAACAATTTAGTAGTTTTGATCAGGATTGGGGTTGATTAGCCCAATATTGATTAAATAAAAAAAATATATATATATAAATAAAAAATATCTGATGCATTTTTACAGCAGTTTAATTCAGTGGATGTTTTCATCCCAAACATAACAAATGGATAGTGAATTTTAACAGCGCACAAGTGTTAACTTCATTGCTAAGAGAGGTCTAGTTAATTAATCTGTGCAAATGTAAAGTTTACCTCATCTTTTTGATTCACATTAAAAAGCATGTAAGTTCCAGAGTGTGTGGCGCTGCACACATAATTGCATAATTACTGTTTTTTGCTCACAAATCACAGTATGTGTGTGTGCGGCTGTGTGCGAATGACTGTTGTCCATTAATAAAATATATACTTTAGGTACTGATTGTGCATTTAAGATACCAAATATGGACACATTAAGTACAATATACATTTTAAAAATGTACTGCCACACATTTCTTTAATTTTTAAAAGAGAATTACAGTCATAACACTTCTGAGACATCGTATCAGAACAAATAAAATACCAGCTATCCAATAAGAGTACACTTCCATCACTGAGTCATTTTTGGAAAACAGACTATTAGTTTGTGTACATTTTCTATTGATCATGGCAACAGTAATTAACCCAATGATGCTCAAATGATGGAGAAAAGTGTGAGAACTGGGCATTTTTCCAAAAACATGGCATTGATGAATTTTAAAGAGCTGATTCAGATGCCTGGACTGCCGCGGTGGAGCGATGCTGTTCAGTCTGTGCAGAATATGCTAGATCGCAATAGTTTCTGCATCTTTCACAATCTCTGGAACACAGAAACATCCTGCAATATGGGGAATGGTGCTGTGCAAACTGCATTCAGCACTAATTTTAGGGGTGTTTGCACCGTTACCTGATTTGCATAATTCCTTTGGAGAATTGGGTGCTAACACAACACAAACAGCATGTGCAAATAAATGACATTATTAGTGGGCACAGTTCATTCTTAGCGAACTCTTTGCTGTTTTTCCCCCCCTGCAGTTTTGTAATGCCCTATTCTAGCATTACTTTGTAATCAACACACAACCACACACTCATATTGATTAATTATAATTTCTTTATTGTCATTATATTTTTTATAGAGAATATACAGTATGTGTATCGAATTCAGGGCAATGATCAAAGCATTATTGCTTCCATGAACACTTCCAAAGCTTGCACATTGTCATATCGCTATTCATGGGTTTGGCATTTAATTTGGTACTAAGCTAAATGTGCAATAAATGTTTGATAGTTGCATAAACTTACGGTATATGCACGAGCAATGCTTCGATGGCTTGTTTCTGCTTCATAGCTTGCTTTACAACCAGAGTTTCTACACACTTTTAGAAGATGCAAACTATTGCCTCTATACTATAAAAGTGAATACATTGAAAGCTGGAAAATCCAACCGGCTCAATAGAAATACTTGCATCAGTCTCTATTTTTGAAAAAAATGTCAAATACATTGCTCTGGATACATTTTGTTGCATGTTTCAGATGACAAATCCACTAGAGGGCGCTGTCTACTTTTTTGTGAACGAGAAATAGGTTCCTTGGGTTATGTTTTCTGTTTCAGATAGACTTGTTATCAGAGTAAAAGTGCACTGCAACCACATAGTTGTACGTACCTAAAACTTCATAAAAACTGTTGTTCAGCAGATTAAGAT